GCTAATGTATTAGCTAGGACAGTTACATTTTATACTGCATGTATATATTTAGCAGTATAATTATGCAAATTCTATCACGTTTATGATTGTAAATATTCTTTAGGAGCAATCACTTAGCATCTAGTCCTGAAAAACTTTTGAAGACTTCTGGTTGAAATGCTCAGAATTCATTCCTGAATTCACTTCTCTGCCGGGTATAGGCGAAGCTCACAATTCTCACTCACCAGGCAGAATACTGTACAGTGGTAAAAAAGTATGGATTCTTTCATGGACCTGGACATTCCATGCCCATTACTGGCTTTATGAGCTTGGGCATCATACTTAACCTCTCCGAGCTCAGTTTCTGCATCTGTAAAATCAGGATGGTGATGGTACATACCTCACTGGGTTATCACGACGATTATATCCTATGATGTACAGAAACTACTCAACATAGAGTTTGGTCCTTAAAAGGCTCTCAATAAATGATAGCTACCATCAGTGTTCTTCTTATAGTAGTGCTTAGAAATGTAGTATCCAGTAGTGCTATATTTCAGCCTAGTCATTAAGTTCTCTAAAAGAGCTCAGAATTATAGTTGAAGAGGAGGAAGTAAGGCTCCTCTTAACTTGTCCCACATTCTTACCTACCTAGGTAACAATGTGGTGACATGTGGGAGTACTGATAGCAAAATTTTCAGAATTAAAGTTCTTTTTACTGGAGAATCATATCATTACATACACACTTTGTCATGTGCCTGAGTCGAGTTAGTGGGGATGTTTCAGTAACAGGGATTCTAAATGTTGACAGGGGTGTGTGTGTGTGTGTGTGTGTGTGTGTGTGAGAGAGAGAGAGAGAGAGAGGGAGGAAGAGTGTGTATGTGTGTAGGGCTACAGGAGAAGGGAATCTAGTCTGTTCATGTACATACAAGCACAGCAATTCCACCCTCTAGAGATAAGCCGATTAACAGGTGAGGAATCATCCAGGTAAGATGTGTGAGATAAAATTCTTCCTCTGCTATTTCACATTTTTGGGAATGTGAAAATGCAAAAATGTAAAATTTATATTCATAATTACGATCATATGGCAGAATATGGTAGTGATAACGACAGTATGTTTTAGGGGAACATTAATCTCTTTAGTTAATTTTTCTAATACTTGGTATCCTAGAAATAAGATAATTTAGATCTTCTGAAAAGGGCTTGTAACATGTAAAACAGAAGTCCATAGAATTTTTCTGAGCTTTGGTAAAATAGAAACCTAAGGAAGAAGCAGAAGCCCTGAAAGAAGACTGATGTTACTTAAGGCTAAAATCTTCAAGACTTTGATCCAGTATGGCAAAGATACCACATATCAGCAGAGAGTTCCTTCTTTTTGTTTCCTCCTATCACCTAAATCTGTAACAAACTGGGTTCAATGATGTCCGCTAAGTTATATATGTGCGGGCGGTAACCATATGTATGACACTGAACTAGGCACTGGGGAAGAAGTCAGATACCATCACTGGCCAAAACATGCCTATAGCCCAACAGGGTAGAAATAGCTTAATATTATCCATGGAGGAATCAAGTTCTCAATCCTGTTCCACACACAAGGTGTGTCACCCCGGGGATGGGAGGGAGTGGTGGGGAGGATGGGTTCTGGCTCTCAACATTACATCCTGGAGATGGATGTAATTACTCTTTTCTGGACTATATTCTTAGGTCTCTAAGGCCCATCCTCTCAGTGACACACATTTCCTGATCAGCCCTTTGCGGCCCACCACAGAGGACGCATTATCCTTTCTTTGAAGGGCACACAATCTTCTGAGCCTCAAGTTGCATCTTGCAAGATTTCCTTCTAGCTGTCACATTGGTCCGTTCCAATAAGCCTCAGTGTTTATCCCACACCCCTCAGCTGTCCGTGGTCACGAGAAGCATCCCTTTCATTGATTCTTAGAATTTCACTTCCTAAGGCCTTTGGAAAGCAGAGAATGAATACTGTTTTCCAATCCTTCATTTTTCTTAGTCCTATATAATCAAGCCAGTCATGGTTGCTGTTTTTTTTTTTTTTGTTTTTTTTTTTTTTTTTTTTTTTTTTAATTTGTTGCAGGAGGATGAACAGT